AACTGTAAAATGTCTGTCTCATCAGAGCAGAATTTCTTCACGAAATTTGCAAAGGACAAAGTCAAAATGAAGCTACAACCAAAGTTTCTGAGCCTCTCATTTCTTAGCCAAACAAGGAAAGCCATGTACCAATGGTGATTTAAGTCAGGTATGATTGCAGCAGCCACAGAAATATATCTAGAGAAAATTAATTTGTTAAAGAAAATTAGCCTTTCAGTAAGAATAATTGCTCAAAAACTTGAGAACACTAGGGGAAACATCAATAGTCACTTATAAGAAAAAAGACAACTTTTTCTTAATGGTATTCTTGGCTTTTGGCAAGTTGTTAGACAGATATTATTGATACTGCTTAGTTGTCCTTGTTTATCTGAAAAGCCAATGCCAAGTATGCAAAAACTCAAGAATTAGCCTCTAAGAACAGTCATTGTGTAACAAATACACACAGAAATATTTTCAGAGGAATTGAAAAAAGACTAATTCATTACAACCTGAAGTAGAATCTACTAAGATATTTTACAACTGTTAGTGCTAAAAATACATGTGAAGGAAAAAAAGGCTTGGAAGTTCACAAACTTATAAAATGCCAGCTGTTAAAGTTTATTTATTCATTGTATTATTCATCAGTAAGCACTTTGTGTAAAACATTCATGTGTTTTTGAACCAGTAGTGTTATGGTATATTTTATTTATTCTCAAGGAGTTAAACATCATCAATTCCATGACTTTTTCTCAGAAGTATAACTAAATATCCTGACTTAACTTATCATATAGCAGTTCAATGCCTTCGTGGAGAGACTTTTTGAGGTCAGGGCTGGGACTGATTTTTTTCTGAATGAAAAGGACCATTTTTAAACACTCATATTAAATACTGCAAGCTTTTGGACATTAGTTTTGCTAAACACTTCATAATGTTTCTAAGTGAATTCTACTTAAAAATACCAGACAAAAACAGTGCATACAAAAACAGTGCATATATGGAAAATGTATACTGTGGTAGTCATTCTGTTGTTTTAATCAAAAATAATGTCGAGCTGCTTTATACATTCTTAATGCTATCAAAAGTTCAAACAAAAAGGGAGATCTTAATTCTCCCACAGATTTGTAGTAGATTTATTTTCTAAGCTCAGACTATATAGTTCATGTGGTTTTTGTCAGACCTCAGTACAAACGCAAAGGAAATTTTCACATTCAAAATATATTTTATCTTTAAAATTAACCTTCCATTTAACCTGAAACTAGAGTTGATTAACTGGCAGTGCAATGACATGCTAACAGTATAATATACTATAGAGAATAATATAATTGAATTGTATAAATGCCTTCTAAGCAATGAAAATGCTCAATTAAAACCATACGTTTATGAACTGTTATCAGGATTCAGCAGTAGGTATCTATGTGAAAAGGCATTTTCAAAGATAAAATAGGTTACTTTTCATTACAAATCACCATTAACAGATGAACATTTGCAATTTGTGTTGGTGGCAGGGAATACTAACTTTGAACTCTAAGTGAAATGTTATACCCCTCAAATAATTCTATTCTTCTCATTAGCAAGACTTATAATACAAACAAAATTCCAATTTTAAAAATTACCAAAGAAATGGAACTCCATCTAAAATATTTACTATTGACCATTATAAAAAAGGTTTGCCAAGTCCTGCTAAGATAAGCAATTAATAGAAATTTAAACCATAATTTGGAAATCTTAAGAAAGAAAAATTTATTCAGGCTTTAAATTTTGATTAAGACTATTTTATATGTTAATCTATAAATGTATTTCAAATTTTAGGCTGAAATCGCCTAAAAGAGCTAGCTATCCTCATTGGTTGGGTGGTACATTAATGAAACCAAGAAGATAAGTTCAAACAAATCCTTATTCTTCATGAATGTTTTAGAGATGAATATTATTTGTGCTTTAAAGGATCTAATTTAAAAGCTTTTATTTATAAAACTGAGAAAAATTACTCAAAGAACACCTGCAATTCATGGTAGAACAACATATCATTCACTGCTTAAATCTTCCAAATAAATAAGTACTTCCCTTCTTGTTCCATTTTAATTCATGCCTATTGAGAACTGAGAATTGTACTTCTGTTTGGAGTAGGAGGTTACAGGTAAAGGTTATGAATATATTGCTCAATCTTTATGTCCTTGTGTAAATAAGGAAAATGAATGAATTGATTGCCTTGTTAAACACACTCTCAGCCTCAAATCTACATTGCCTTCTTCACAGTTAGCCAAAGTACAATATGTATTTCATTTTTTTTTTCTATTTCAGAAATAAAAGCATTTTCACAAATGAAATAAAGTAAGCTTAAGAGGTATAGGCAAACTTCCTAGAAAGGAAATGGCATTATTTCCTCAAAACTTCATAATATTACAAAGGCTTTCACACAGACAATTCTAAAAGGTTTAATCATTATATAAAGCCCTCTCTTCTGGGTGCCTGGAGGCATCATACGGAGTGAACAAGAGGATCTGAAATGAAAGAACTCATGTCCCGTGGACATGAAGAGTCTTATTAAATCACCAAAAAAATATAGTCATCAGAGATCCTGGCAACAATAAAACAGTGTGGAGAAGACTACTCAGCAGCTTAACAAAAATACGGCACCTTTTGTTTAAACACCTAGCTCTGAAAGGAGGCCAGTGGTAGCAACGATACTTGTGTTTAACTTGGATTGATTACATAGCTAATTTTTTAATGTTATTACCTTTTTAAAGGATATGCTGTTTCATGACTAATTTCTTAACAGGTTTTATATACAGATATAAATGATTTTAAAGCCTGTATTAAACATAACTTCTTTGATTCAAGAAAGCTATTTGAACTTTACATAAGACACTAACATATAAAAAGGGAGATGTGAAATGCGGTTATCTAGAAATTAAGCTAGATTCTATATGCATTTTAAGTTTTAAAACAATACAATCGCCAAGCAGACAATCATTAAGTGAATGACATTTAATGAGCCAAATAATAGAAGTATCTAGCATTTAATCCTCACAAGAACACTATTACACAGGGTCTATGATTCTCCCCATTTACGGTTGAGAATTGGATAAGCAATTTATTCAAAGTCACAAAGCTAGTTTAGTAAGTGGCAAGAGTTGGATCTGAAACTAGTCTATGTATCTCAGAAGCCAACGCTCTTATTGATCACCCAACCAGTGCTGCCTCATAAATATATAAGGCAAACCAGATATATAATTTCAAATTTTCTAGTAGCCACATTAAAAAATGTGAAAAGAAACTGAGGAAATTAACTTTAACAATACATTTCACTTAGCCCCATATATCCCAAATAGCATTTCAATACATAATCAATGTAAAATTATTAATTAGATGTCTTACATTATTTCTTCATATTAAGTCTTTGATATCTGATGTGTATTTTGTACAATACCTTTCAGTTTGCATTAGCTACATTTCAAGTCCTCACCAGCCACACACAGTTAGTACCTACTGTATTAGACAGTTTACTGCCAAACCATTCACTCAGTGAATATGTCTTGAGGGCTACTGTGTATTAGACATGCAAAACAAAGGTCTGCTCTTACTTTACATTCCTTGGAAAGAAACATAAGCCTGTAATAAAGCAATCAAACATCAGATCAGACAGCAATGCATGCTATGAAGAAAATGAACTACCACAGTATCACAGAAAGTGACTCAGTGATCACTTTCATTAGGAAGACCCTTTGAGAAGGTGATGTTCTGAAGTACCTAAACTTCCCTAAGTGACATACATTATGGATAGACAGGATGTGCAGTGACGAGAGCTACAGTAAATAAGCACCACTGGTCTAGTGAGGTCTTTTCCTTTCTAATGTGTAAATCTTTGCACCTGCAACATAATATTCAAGTACTTAGCAATGGAGCCATTTGTTAAAATTTAAGTGACTTTGGCAGTCACCGTCTTCACAGTAAAGTGGTAATTTTAGAAAAAACAAGAGCTACATATTTCTGGTGGGGACACAGATGGGAGAAAACAGTTGCATAAACATAAGCCATTTAAAAGATTAACATATGGCCAAGATAAAGGCCAGGATGGAATGAAAAAAGAACAACTGAAATATGTACATAACTTTGGCCTCCATCTATTTCATGCATCGCTATAATTTTTAAAGTTTTTTTTTCCCCTTCAAGGAAATAAACATTTGATTTATGTATGTACTAACCATCTAGGAAATTCTTCTTCTTCTTTTTTTTTTTTTTTTTTGAGAGAAAGAGTCTCACTATGTTGCCCTTGCTAGAGTACTGTGGTGTCATAGCTCACAGCAACCTCAAACTCTTGGGCTCCAGTGATTCTCTTGCCTCAGGCTCCCAAGTAGCTGGGACTGCAGGCACCTACCATAATGCTTGGCTATTTTTGCTTGCAGTTGTCATTGTTGTTTAGCTGGCTCGGGCTGGGTTTGAACCCGCCAACTTCAGTGAATGTGGCTGGCTCTGTAACCACTGTGCTTATGGGCACTGAGCCCCATTAGGAAATTCTTGAGCTCTTAAGTGAGATCACAGAAAAATCATGAGCTCACTCAAAGAAATCCATTGTTTTTTGGGCAGGGGTGACAGTGTCTCATCTGTCACTCAGGCTAGAGTATGGTGCTATGACTCTAGCTCAGTACAACCTCAAATTCCTGGCTCAAGTGATCCTCCTATCTCAGCCCCTCCTGAGCAGTTGGGACTACAGGTGCCCACTCTGCACAACTGCTTTGTTATTTTTACAGACACTGTGCTTCACTGTGTTTCCCAGGCTGTTCTCCAACTCCTGGCCTCAAGCAATCCTTCTGCTTCAGCCTCCCCAAGTGCTGAGATTGTGAGTGTGAGCCAGTGTGCCTGGTCAAGAAAGGTAAAACGCAGGAAAGCAGGTTCCTTTCTCTCTTGAAGCAAGTAGCATCCCAAATTATTTAGTATTGAATAAAGATACAGTTAACATGTGAGTAAAGCCTGCTTTTCAATTTATGAGAGTTAAAAATCATAAAAAATGAAGTCACACTTACTATAGATTGTCAGTTTTATATCCTTGGCTTGTTTTCCAGCTGCATTAGACACAGTGCATTGGTAGCGCCCCTTGTCACTTCTTCGTGCTTTCTTTAGATGTAGAACTTGTCCTCTGTCTAGAAGTTCAATATTAGGATCTCCCAAAAATAAAGGCCTAGAAATAATAAAATTTCATCCCATGGGTACATTTTCATTTTTCCATATTTCTTCTTCTCTTCGTAATCACAACAAAAATCAAAGGTTAAAAATATGAATGAACGTGGATTAAAAATACAATAATAAGATTGGTACTCTTATTCAGAAGAATGAAGTTATTAAACCACTTTACTAATGGAAGTTAAGTTAATAATCACTTTGAGATCAAAAGTTTCTCCATTTTGGCTGGGTGCAGGGGCTCATGCCTGTAATCCTAGTACTCTTGGAGGCCAAGGCGAGTAGATTGCCTGAGATCATGAGTTTGAAATCAGCCTGAGCAAAAGGGAGACCCTGTCTCTACTAAAAATGGAAAAACTGATGCAAGAGGATCGCTTGAGCCCAAGAGTTGGAGGTTACTGTGAATTATGAACCCACGGCACTCTACCCAGGTTGACAGCTTGAGACTCTGTCCCCAGAGAAGTAAAATAAAAGTTTCTCCATTTCAACTTGAATAGTTTAATAACATTAGCAGAAATCTAGTAATACTATTATTCACTTTATCCATTCTTCTGTTCTTATTCTCTAAGTATTCTTTTTTATTTTTTGGTTTGCATAGCCAAAATTTCTACTGTCATCTGGAAAAGAATAACTAAGAATTTAATATTATAGTACTGAAACTTCAGGCCAGGCAATATTATTTTAAATCAATATTATTATACAATCTGGAAAAGTATTCACAAGTGTATGGACAGTTATTATTTACTAAAGACAATGATTTGCCAATCTCTCTAAAAAGTATTATAATAAATATAAATGCTTACATAATAATACATGCTGAAGATGTTTATGCCCAAAGAAGCTCATATGTGGGGTTGTCAAGAAGACAACATACAGAGACATTTACTGACTACTACGAAATGTTCACTTTATGTAATTGGCATCAGCTTTATTTTAATATCTGAAGCAATGGTTATTAAAGTCTATGATATCCTAAGAATCATACCTTCAAAATCCATTAACATTGTCTCAGGAAGATCCACAGCTAGTTTTTTAAAAGTTTCAATGACTTAGCGACATAATGAATTATTAGATGCATCGAAATATTAATAACCTTCTAGTTAAACTGCACAATAAAATGGCAAACACATTTAATTTTCTATAGTAGGGTCCTTTACTATGTCTTAGTAGGAAGCTTTGGATAAAACGATCCAAAGCTAAGAGTATAAAGTACTTGAATATTTTAAGTTTTTAGAGGAAGTAAATATTTGACAATAATGCTACTTAAATTTAAGTAATGCTAAAACTTTTGATTGTTAATTATGTAAGCAACATAAAAATTCAACCCAAAAGTAAGCATGGTATTGAGAAAAATTCTGCTTGGTCTATTACCCTTACTGTGAGTTTCCTAGCCTTGTCACCATTATCACTTTGAATTATATTCTTTCACGTGGTTTCCTAAACATTTTTACTCATAGCCCTAAAGAAATCCAAAGTTCTAATATGTGTATTATAAATGCTATGTTATCATTCCGCCTTTCTTTTCACTCTGTAACAGCTATGGAGCTATTTTTGCTACAGAGATTGACCTTACTCTTTCTAATTTAATTGCTGCACAGTGTTTCGTACTATCTCATGAGTTATCTATCTATTTTCCTAATGTCAGGCGTTAGTCAGTTTTCACTTTTCTGCTGTCACAATCTGCAGTCCCCAACCACCCGGGACTTGGACTGCTAGCAGGAACTGGGCTGCACAGCAGACGGTGAGGACCAGGGAGGGAGAGAAGCTTCATCCGTATTTACAGACACTTCCCATCACTGGCATCACCAGCTGAGCTCCTTCCTCCTCCTGTCTGATCAGCGGAGGCCTTCGATTCTCTTAGTATTACCAACCCCACTCTGGGGATCTAGGTTACACAGTGCTTATGAAACTCTAGTGCCCAGCCCCACACTCTCCCCATGTATGGAAAAATTGTCTTCCACGATAGCAAATTTTCCCTGGTGCCAAAAAGCTTGGGGACTTCTGGTCACAATGTTGCAGTGACTATCATACTATATCCTCCCTATGGCCATGCACGACTGCTTCCTCTCCTGGACACTGAAAGTGTAATTACTGTATCACAGTTTTCCAAGTTTAATACATATCAACAAATTGCCTTTCAGGGAACTAATTTACATTCTCTCCATCAGAATAGAATATCTTACTTTCCCCCACTCTAGCCAAAACTTGATATTTCAAACTTTTAATCTTTTTGCCAATATGGCTTGTGAAGAACAGAATTTAATACGCTTATCGCCTAAGTATAATTTTTAATTGCCTGCTCACACCCGCTATAAATTTTTCTATGTTGCTTTTGTCTTTATTATTGATCTGTTGAAACAATCCTTTATTTCATACACTGCAAATCTTGACTCTTCACTATGTAAGCCTTAGATCCCTGCTCTCAGAAACTGTATTATGTGAACGCTGACTACCTTGTGGGAAATAAATTCTCACAACCAACACGGATCACCACAGCCATTTAAGCAGGAGAAACCTCAGCAGCCCTTCAGATTGGGAAGTATGAGAAATGTCTCACTGTTCCTCTGTGGTTCTTTTATACCTACAGATAGAACTAGTTGAAGTATTCATCTTGCTGTCATAAACACACTTTCCTTTATAAGTCAATTCCTTGTAAAGACAAAATTATCTCTGAATTTAGATCTTGCCTTTTTCACTGTTAGCCTCTGAATAAAGGATATTTAGTGTACAGGCATCCCTAGGTTATGGACAAAATATATTCCTGAGAATGTCTTTACTTAGATTTGTATGTAACTCCGCTTTCTAAGGAACAGTGCATATATGGTAATAATAATACTAGTACAATGGCTCAGATGTGGTAATGCTAATACAGTGTAATATAGTAATAATAATAATAATACCCCTGTACTGAAATAATAAGCTACAGGAACTATTGTGTTCTTTACATGAAAAGTTTAGACAGGACATAGGAAAAATTTTAAAAGAACAATATTAAAGGTTAACACCTAATGTTGCATCAATGCTGCTAGCCTAATAGGAATGTTATGCTTTTTTTTTTTTTTTTTTTTTTTTTGCAGTTTCTGGCTGGGGCTGGGTTTGAACCCACCATCTCCAGCATATGGGGCCGGCACCCTACTCCTTTGAGCCACAGGCGCCGCCATGTTATGCTTCATTTTATCTTCTAGCCAACCAATAATAACCTTTCCATTTCAATAATTAATCCTCTACATTGCTTAGTGATAATTAATGCTTTCATCAGAGCAATGCCTTTCACATAGTCCATGATTCTCATTTTAACCCTTATAATTGTTCCAGTACTCCAGGGACAGAAGCCTAATGCTTTTCCAATGAATGATGGCACCTGGTTTTTCTCCCAACTCTTAATTGTTTCCACTATAGTCACCTTTCTCTTTGCTCTTGCAGGCCCACCTGGACTTCAGTGGACTTCTGCTTTGGAGGTGTGGTCATCAGGGTAAATAAATCACAAAATCAAGGGGAAAAGTGAACAAAAGTGGTGCTGTGTGGAAGCTACCCAATAGACAATGAGACTGGCTGCCAGCACAGAGGTGCTGCCCCAGCCAGCTGCGTGTGCCGTGTGGGTTTGTTTATATGCACACAAGAAATGAGTTCTTGAATTATTAATTTAATTACATTATCTTTATGGGGCTCCCTGGGAACCTATTTGTATGTACTGAATGCTGTATAATATATAACCCAGGGACTGCCTATATATTAAATTTGAGTTGCCCTAGATTTCTAAGACACATTCCCAACACTTACATAAATCCTTGTAATACATAATAATGAAAGACCTTAAGACTATTTTTGAGTAATACAGTTTTTCTTTATGCTTCATGTGATAAAATAATTAAAAAGAGAAAAAAATCCACACACATTTATATACCTGTTTTCTATCAGTTGGACTCTTCCAAAAAATACAGAAAAGTTACTCACTTGCCATCTTTGAACCAGTGAATAGCAGGGAAGGGATTGCCTCTGGCCTGGCATTCCAGGGTGGTGTCATGGTTGAGGATAACCGATACTTCATTTGGGGAGCTAGCACCTGTTATGGTGGGGGGAACTGAAACAAAGACATTTTATTATGAAACTCTCTGACTTAGCAAACACAACGAGATGAGGGAAGCAGATAGGCGATGCCTTCCATAGTATTTCAACAAGGTATTAATGTTAAAAATAAAATATCATACAATAGTTCATATTCATATCACATCTGTGCACCTGTATGCTAGATTTAAATATAGAAAAACATTCATTAAACAATTGCTAACAGGACAATTACTTGCAAGAATTATGATAGGACAGGATGTGTTTTGAGGCACAGTCAACTCGTGTGAAAAAGCAGTTTAGAATATAAGTAAGTGACAAAATTCATATAATGCAATTTACTCTTGCTATATCTTTTAGATAATGAATATTGTAATTAGCATCAATTTTATAAAGTTCAGATTCTACTGTTCAGATATTATACTGTTGTGTTGCTTGAAGTATACTAACTCCTCCCTTTAAGGTACTCTTATGGTAAAACTGATAGAAGATATAACATGAAAAATAAAGTGCTAGTTTTTATTCTTGGAATTATCACGATTTCTCTGACCTTAGCCCTCCCCTTTCATACCATGTTAAAGTATTTGTCTTCATCTTCAGACAAATGACCAGCCACAAGAGCAGCGGTTCTCAACCTGTGGGCCGTGACCCCATTTGGGGGGTCTCCTGCATATCAGATATTTACATTACGATTCATAACAGTAGCAAAATTACAGTTATGAAGTAGCAATGAAAATATATGGTGGGGGGTCACTACAACATGAGGAACTGTATTAAAGGGTCGCGGCATTAGGAAGGTGGAGAACCACTGCTCTAAAGGGTTTCAGTAGGAGAGGAATGTATGATCGCGTTTATGTTTTGTGACCACCTGAGTGAAGCTGCTGAGGGCGGCTGTGTAAAGAAGGATTAGAATGGCCAAGAGTGGACGGATAGAGGAGAGCAGTTAGAGGGCTACAATGTTAATTCAGCTAATGAATGGCAAATATACTGTCACAGGGGAATGGAAATAAGTAGATAATTTAACACAGAAGTAGGAAGGAGACATAACAGGATGTAAAAGGATTTAAAGAGTTTGAAGAACAGAAGAAAGTGAGTGGATGCATGGAGGTCCTAGTCACTAAAATGGAGATCAATGAAGGAAACAAAAGTAGACACTTTCTGGGACCTTTCTGTTTGATATACAAAGGAAGAGCATTCGAGTCCATCTAACAGGGAGAATATTAGGCCTCTTTCCCTACAGCTTATGAAAGTCTGAGCTAGAGATAAAAATGTGAGCATCCCCAGCGCACAGATGGAATTCAAAGTCATGGGAGTAAACAAGTGCCAAGAGAAACAGTGCCAATGAAAAAAATAATAAAAAGATGTCTTAATGCGTTTCTACAGCCCATACTTACACATAATAATAGTAATTTGGGGGATAGAAAATTTCAGGTTTTGAGAATTCTAATGAGGAAAATTATTTTATGTTATGGCATTTTATGAATGATAACTTTAATGCACTATAATTCTCTGACCTCATTTCCACTCTGGACTTACAAATTACATGCCTATTGTGAGGAGCTAAATATTAAAAATGGGGAGAGTCGTTTTATCACAAAGTGAACTTTCAATGACAAGTATAATTTTACGAACTAATAAAATCTCAAATTTAGGATTACCATTAAAAATGTTTTCTATCCCGATTGATCACAGCTGCTACCTGCTCTCGGAATTCTCTCCTCTTCACTGGGACAGACTTAGTTACAAGAATTAATTAGAATACAGTGGAAGGTGGATTTGCTGCCTGATCCAGTTCAAGGACAGCCTAGGAGCTTCAGGACATGTGCACAGTGCGAGTGTGCTACACTCCGCCTCACCCTGCATAGGGGCTCCCCAGAAAACATCCTGCCCACCAACCTGGAGAGACTGACAGGAGTTTCCTGTTTTCCATAAGACAGTACCATTGGGGGGTATTTGATACTTCACTGTATAAGATTCCAAGGCATTTCTGTATTATAGATAATAAATATTCCAAACTTTCAATATAATAGGGTTCTGGTCAACTAATATTAAAGACCGAAAGAATAACAGATTGAAACAAATAGTGTTTTTTCCTATCAATTTATTTTTATCCCTAATTTTACGTATAGTTAGAACTATACTAGGTAAGAAGTGCATCCGAGTTGTACCTTTCTATCTCACAAACGGTTTTTCTTACCTAGCACATCGATGTGAAAATACTTCTGGGAAGTGCCTGCAATGTTAATTGCTTTGCAGTAATATCTTCCTGCATCCTCTGGAGTGGCTTTGAAGAGCTTTAGTATCTTTCCATTGTTCACGATCTGAACGGCACTGCTTTCCGTCACCTACAAAGGATAAACTAGTCAAGGTTATCTCTACTCCTAATGAAATGCATAATTATCAATTGAAGTAAAATGTTATTAAGGATTTCACATCCTAATTGATTTCAGATGTGGAGGCAAGGGATTATACATATTTGGACGTCTTCAGTTACCTGGACATCATCTTTATACCATGTAATGATGGGAGATGGAGTACCTTCCACTTCACAAAAGAGACTGGTCAGCTGATTTACCAACACAGACACATTTGTCACTTGTTCTTTATCTTTAATTACTGGAGGAACTGCAAAAGCAGAGGTGTCAGGCTTAGACAGTTTTGTAAGAAATATTATTTATAAAGTTTCTTTATAAAGGTCTTTAGAAAGCAAATTCTGAGATGCTCATGGCTAGAAAAACTGGTCATATTTAAGCATATACTTTATTATAAAATGAAAAGTCTTTACCAATGTATTCATAAGTCACAATCCTTATAGAATTTTTACTTTATTATTTCAAAGTACTCAATTTAGGATGAAATTCAGATAAATTTAAGAGAGAACCTATTGATTACCCATATCAATTGAAATACAAGTTGCTACAGTCTTAAGTGGACTCTTGACTTTGCCAATAATGTGAATATTGCCTTAAAAATTCCATGAAAATTGCTCATGGGTCTATGGAAGTCAACATTCATTTAATTTTTAAAATGTATATACCCTTCTACTCATGCAAAATGGCACATGTACACAATTTTCATAGAAGAGATACTTATAGTAGAAAACAACTGTTAAAAACTCAATGCTCATCCTTAGTGTAGAAAAGTTAAAGAAATTGTGTAACCATACAGTGGGATTCTATAGAGTTAAAAATATTGAAAATCTCTAAGATAAATTGTTTAGTAAAATAGACAAAGTACAGAGTAATGGGTATAAAGTTCTTCTATATGTCTTATATTTTATAGGGAAGAAGAAGATAAAATTATACATATTCCTATTTCCTTGTTTATAAGTAAAATATTTGTTAAGACACACACACACATGTGTACAATACACATGTAAAATGGTAACGTTCCTTGCCTGTAGAGCAGATAGTAGATGCCTTAGCTCAGGGTCAGGATACCTATACTAAGTATTTTTTTTTCTGCCACTTGAACCATGAATGTTACCAAGTAATAATAATAAATTATACAAAATTGTAAATCAAATAAATATACGAAATCAGATCATCAGTTTTGCTTTGAGAGAATAATTTAAATATGGGTAAATTTAATTTATGGATTACTAATTTTGCGTTGAGAGAATAATTTAAATATGGATAACTGTTACATATTTGCTTATATGATTTTAGCATTTTTGTTCCTGTGGATACTTACCATGGACTTTGAGGTTATATTTTCTTTCTGTGGTTCCAGCTTCATTGACTGCCACACAGATGTACTCCCCATTGTCAAATGGTGTAACAGAAGCAATCATCAACAGTGTGCCATCTTCCAAGATAGAGATACCAGGCTCTTGGCCTGTCAACTCTCTACCATTGTGTAACCATTTGATGGTTGGTTGAGGGGTACCTAAATACAAAATTAAAAGTCTTGTGATACTTACAATCATTATTGAATGCCAAATATATCAGGGAGAAATAAATTTTTTTTTTAGGAATATCATTTGTACTCTTAGGTACTGTGCCGTTTTTAAGATATGTCTCCTGCCATAGAAATGTGAAGACTATGGTAATTAATGCCTTTACTTCTTGATCAGTCTTAGGAGATCCATTGCCTCTAGAATAAATTTAAACAAAATTGTTTTTGTTAAAACATTCGGATGAGAGTAAGTATTTTGTTGGCAAGTTCACAGTGATTAGCAGAAGAAAAAGCTATATTAATTCTCCTAACTAGACATGGTAAGAGCTTGGGCTCTTGAGTTGAGCACCCACAGTACTCACTTAATTAATGTTTGTTGAGGTCATTAGATGGAGTAAAAATAAGTATGAAAATAAGATATGTTACAAAAATAAAACAAGAAGATTGCCCAACCCAAGAAAGTACATTAATGATGTGCGAAAATGATGTTTTATAATTCACTTTGTAAAAAATCCTGATATAGTAGAGATGAGGAAATTCTACCATCCATGTGTCTTTTGGACATAGCATTCTGCTAAACAAAGAAAATAGGTTATTTCCATTAAAAAAAAGTTGAGAAAACAGTGACCAGAATTGCTTCCCTGGATTTATTTATGACCAACAGAGTGAATGGAAATGATGTGCTCATGGGGAAAAAATGATAAAACTATCTGAGAATGTATATTAGAGTCAAAAGGAATATTTTAAATAGACAAACATTAACTTTATATTAAGAATTTATTTATCTAGCTACCAATGTGCCAGGCTCTATTCTAAGCACTTAAAAATTTCCTTAATCTCTATAAAGATAGAAAGAAAAAAAATACTAAATAAAATTACATGATTACCTAGGACATTGTCAACAATCTTGTATTAAGGATAATAAAAATATTAAAATATGAACATATAATCCAGGATTCATACAAAAGAACAGCAGAAATACACAGAATGTGTCATTGAGGTTACACTCAAATTGAGTTAAAGTATTGTAAAAGTGACTATGAAAGTTCTATTTGTGGAAAAAAATAAAAGATTGGCCTGTTTAATTGTACCTTTAGTAAAATGTTGACTTATGTAGTAGAAAAGTTACAACTCATTAACTCTAGTTTCCTGCCTATATTGTCAAGAAAAGATTACAATCATTTCCTTACATTCCACTCATTTCCTTATGTACTTCAATCAGACTTCTTAATTAATATTTGTTGAGGTCATAAATAAAAAATGAATAAATTAAAAGAAAGACATTACCTTATCTTTAAGTTATAGATGTTAGAGCAACCCTGGTCAAAATGAAATTCATACAAAAGATCTGTAAATTAACTCAAGTATTATATTCTGGATAAAAATGAGGAGCTGGGAAGAGCTGATTTTTCAAAGTGGAAAGGGGAATTCAAAAGTAAGAAAACATCTTGGAATCACTCACAGGATCTGGGGAGGACAAGCACATAGGTGCCAATGGGCTCACCCAGCCATGTTGAGCACCCACAGTACTCACTTAAATTTACACCCTCCCAAAGCTTCCCTCTCCAGGCCTCCCTAATTCTCACTGGCTCTAAGAATAGCTAATGACAGATCTTTAGATATCTGAAAAGTGTGTTAAAGTTATCTTTCTTTAAACATTGATAGAATATAGAGTAATCACTGACGACTGCTACCATGGAGAGACACAAAAGCTTCCTACAGAAATGGACACAGCATGAGGACCTTTCCTTGCTGCTGCATCCAGAAACAAGTGCCACGAGCCACGTGTGGGAGCACAAGTGGTACAGGCCACTGGGGGCCTTCTAGGGGGTTATGGAGGGACTACCACTTAGACTTTGCCAGAATTGCTGCAAATCTAGTGTGAATCATTGCAGATGACTGTACACCTGAAAGACAGGATGTCTTAATCACCTACTTGGCACCCAACATAAGGGTGATAATGACAAGCCTTCTTTTGCATCCCCCTGAGGAGAGATAATAGCAATCCTTTGCTAGGAAGCATAGTGGGATAGAAAGTCCAGAAATTCAGGAAAAAGTAGAGTTTGGATAAACCTTCAAGAGATAAGTCACACCCTGGCCCAATGGAGAGTGGATTTAGGAAAAGAGTTTTTTAGAAGTGTCTAGAACAAACACAAGGATTATCCTAATTTAATCACTGACTGATTGAGATAACTCTGAAATATTGTGAATAGTTGTAGATGTCATATTTTAAAGAGAAACCTTGCCAAAAAAGGGAATGAAATGAGAAGTAGCAAGAAAGGCATGAACTAGCTGGAAAACAAACTAGATTAGGCAAGTTTGAAGGAACAGAAGGTCTTTCCATAGGTGATAAAATACCTGGCAGGGAAAAACATGCCAAATCCAAGAGATGTTACTTGAAGGAGAGGTTAGTTTATATTATGCTCAAATGTTATAACAGGGACTGACAGGTGGAATTTTGTAAAGATTCTGGGGATTCAATATAGAATTCTGGAAAGCTAAACTGTCATGCCAATGTCCACATCTCTGAGTGTCACGCACCTTTTGCAGGGCATGGGAATGCAATGCGTTGGTTGACCACTCTTTCCTGGAATGGAGTGTTATAGGGAGGTTCTAGATCTTCCAATGTAGGTGGCTCTGTTGGAAAAATAAATGCATTATCATATACTTTCCTTAGGCAATTTTAAATTCTCCTGGGGCATCAACAACCACAGGCATTGATGATTTATACTTCCAGCTGCCTGACATTTCTACAGGGATGTGACCCAGGGCCTTACATAAGGCCTCAAAATTCCCCTGTTCTTACTTCCCTTATTCCTTCATAAGGCATATGATCCAACCATGCATCTTTCTTTCTCCCTTACTCCTGACCTCCACATCTAGTCAACCATATGATACATTCACATATCTGTATATCACTCTCTATCCTTAAGGTCACTGCTTATCTCCAATCCTTACTTTCTCTTACTGGAAATATTTCACTAGGCTTCTTATTGGGATCCTGTTCTCAAACATGTTTCCCTGTGGACTGATGTTCTGCACAGCCGCCAGAACACTCTCTGTGAAACACAAATCTGATCACTGGCTCCTCTAATAGCACCATTACTTGTCCTCATTGTGTCCACAGGCTAAAAGTCTCAGACATGTGTTTTCTTCAGCACACCGTATGAAGACATCCCAGCTCTGTGAACAGCCTCACCATCCATTCATCTCACAAAGAAACTGGCGTTATTCATGAGACTCCCATATCCAATCCATCACCATGTCTGAGGCATTCTTTCCCAATTGTTTTTTGAGTCTATTCCCGTATTTCCCCCATACCATCGCAATTTGCCTGAGCTACTGTGGTAGCCTATAGCAATGACCCCTAATCTTCTCCAGCAAAAGAGTTCTTTTCCCTAAAGAGAGATCTTTCAAAATCCTGAGTCAGCCATATCACTTTCCAGTTATAATGCCTCAGAGTTTTTTCATTACATTTGGAATAAAATATAAATTAATTTATCTGGCTTCATAGGTCTTGGATAATCTGCCCCATGATTATGTCTCTAGCTTCATCACTCATCACTCAGCCCTCAGTCTGGAATGCAGATTTGATTGACTGATTGACTGATTGATTGATTTACTTCAGGGTCTCCAAAGTATTACATACCTAACTCTTTGCATTCTGTCCTTATCCTGAAAGTTTCTCTCCACCATCTCCAGCAAATACTGCTCCTCGCTTCTCCCCTTCCTTCTAATCTCAACTAACAAGCACCCACCCTAGGGAAGCCTTCTCTTATTTGTCTTTCTGTTAAAATGTTATATATATTATTTAACCATTTTATGATGGCATTAACCAAAGTATAATTATGTACTTGTGAGATTATTTCATAAATGCCTATCTTTTCCATTCAGCTATAAATGTGAGTGACCAAATAAAGTTTGTCGAATGAATGAATGAACAGGACAACCTCTCCATCAGTGTTCTGGCCAACCATCCAAAAGAACTGCCATGTGCCAGGTACCTTAGAACTATATCAATACTTAGGGCAGTAGTAACACTAATCAATGCCTATAGTACACTGCTAAAAATTATTTAGGACTGTGCTAAGTATTATGCTATACCTACTTATCTCTTCTTATCTTTTTATTAGTACTCCCTCTAATAGGAATGTTCTTTCCACCGAATTCCATGTGGCTGATTCCTCTTAGTCCATAAGATCTCACTGTAAATATCATCTCCTTAGAGAAGTCCAGCTTGATAATCCAATCTAAAGTAGCCACTGCCAGGGCCATCATCCTATTTTAACTTTCTACACAGTACTTCCCACAATCTGCATTTCGTGTTTATTTGATTGCTTTCTGTCTGCTCACACTAGAACAGCTCATAAAAGCAAGTGTTTGGCCACTTTCCTCAACACTAACTAAAATGCAACAGATACCTGGCAGGAGCTCAATAAGGACCAATCGCTTGAAGGAAGAAATACTGATCTTTAAACCCTCACAACAAGGTCAACATCAACGGCAGCGTAGCAGACCTGGATGACCCGGGGCTCTGTTTTGAGTGCACCCAGCCACTGTGAGGTGAAATCCTACTCTAACTCCCTCCGCCCACAATTTCTCCCAAACCCCAAACAGTGGGTGGAGCTCCATCTAGGGCTGTTTCTACAGCATCATCCACGGCCACTTCTTTCTCAAAAGTCAACATCCAGAAACGGCTGCGTGTTTAGTAACAGCATAGTTTCATTTCTTTCTGGAATGGTTCTCCTTTCAAAGTTAAAGAGTTATAAAAGTTATGTAAAAAAAACTTCCTAAAGGGATTTAAGATTATCCAAACTATTCTACATAGACTCCAAGGGAGTTTCCCCTTAATCCACACCCGCCCCACCACACATATGTTTTCATACATCAAACATCACCTTGGACATGGAGTGTTATCTCCGTTTCATCACTGCCTGCTATGTTAGTAGCAACACATGTGTATACGCCAGCATCTGCGGGCATGGCGTGCTGGATGCTTAAAGTTCCATCTGGACTGCTAATGTGCTGCACGCCATCAGCCAGCACGCTGCTTCGGTCTTTATGCCAGGTGATCACAGGAGCAGGGGTCCCTTGCACATTACACAGAATGTCCACTCTTTGACCGACTTGGACTTTCATCTGTTTAGGGCCACGCTGAATCTTTGGAGGAACTGGAAACAACAATTGAGTGTTAAGAACAATTCCATTTTTAAAAATCCCTTCATTTTTCCCGAATGAGAACTCTCTACCAAGACGCAGCATGGAAAAGTAGGATAATCTCAAGAGGTGAACAACCTGGGTTTGGGTCACTTCCCGGCCGTGTGACCCACAGCAAAGTCAGGGAACTTCCTGAAGCCTATTTCTTGATGATTCAGGCAAAATAAACTGTAATACCAGTACACGGCAAGGATTATAAGAAATAATAAATATAAAACTCTTGGTTCCAAACGTGAGGAATAGCGAGCCTTTAAAAATGTTAGGTTTCCTTTCATGTATAAATAATTTAACGTTTTTATACTGTCTTTAAAGGAAATCCAGGTAATTTCTATAAGTAAAACAAAAAGTATTTCTCTCTATGTACTCAGTTTTTGTTCTCTTTGTGGAAGGATTAGTCAGACAATAAGAAAATTTTCTCATAAAAGCCTCTGCTAATTTCAGAGATGAGAATCACATATAGCCTCTATAATAGAGCCTTTATCTACTTTCCTTCAGGGATTTATGAGGTAATTTATCAAAACACTGGCACAACTTTCTTGGTTTCCACATGCATGTATCGTATACTGTAGAACTGAGCTAACCCACAAGGATATGATTAAAATTTATGTCTCATACATTCCTAAAAGCCTAATTTCTCTATCTTTTTTCCTTAATTCAATATTGAATGAACACTCACTAAAGCTTGCCATGCACTACCTTGTAAGTTCGATACTAATATCAATTTATGAATGCTAAAACTAAAAACAAGAAAGGTTAGGTAATAAGCTTAATGCCCTAGAACTAACAAATGACAGAACTCTCATCGGCTTTCAAACCCTCTGAGCAATAGGACGTGATTGCAGTGAATGAATGATCTGAGAATGAAATCAGATCAATACTGTCTGGGGAAATTTCTTCTGATATTTGAATATCTGTCAACTACAGAATGCCTGGGTTAGAGTACGTACTCAATGTGTTCAATGAATAAATAATTGGATAGTCTGTGGCAAATTGGAGGAATGAAGCCAACCACCCAGAGAGGTTTAAGTTAGTCAAAGAACCCCAGGATACAGAATTGTTTCAGTTGCTGAGCTCTTTAAATATCAAAAATGACTATTGGAACACTATGAAATTTTTCTTTGAGATTAGCTTCTACAATATACCACCAGTATAAATACATAATTTTTTCTACTATGTATCCACAATAGTTATAAATCACTATGAGTAACTAGAAACTTCAAGATCCAAATATTTAATATGGTTCTTTTAAAAAAGGAAAGAAAAGGAAGGCTTATAGGCAACAGATACATTTTTCAAAGTAAATGAAAAAAATCACAAGGCTCATATTTAAAAAAAAATTGCTCTGTAATCATTCTACATACATTTTAAAGGTTAACTATCCAAGTAACTGAGATTATGAATTTCCCTGTGGCCAATTCTTAGGGTTATTATATGCCGTTATTTCAAAACTCACCATGGACATTTAATTTAACATATTGAGTCACATTCCCAGCAATATTGGTGGCAACACAAAGGTACATCCCCGTATCTGAAAGCCGGGTCTCAGAGATCTTCATTGAACCAGATGGAAGGAACATGTGTCTGAAAGGAAGAAACCACATGGTCAGAAACCACCAAACAACACGAGAATCTAAACTGTGCAAGCAGGTTTGAAAACATTCTCCCATCTGCAGAGCATATACGTATCTTAGACATCAGGCATTTTCATATGTAGCTTGTGTGTTCAGTATGATGCTCTTGCAAACCCCGAATTGGTCTTCTTTTATTTTCAATTTAACCTTCTGGTCCAAAATCATTAAATAATTATACATCTCTTTGCTAAGTTGCAGCTATCCAAAGCAAGTGTAAACGTTGAATTTATTTTGGACGTTTTACTGTTTTCTACACTGCTCCATAAAAATATTTAGTGTGTTAAAATAAAGGCAAACGAAGGTAAGTATATGATCCGAAACATTTTTTGAATATATTCCTTCTTCTGAATAGTAATATAGTTGGATGAAGTGGTTATACATATAAAAATGTTATTAAATTATGCTAAAATAGTTGTTTGGGGGGGCAGAAGCTAGATAGATCTCCCTCATCAAGAGTTCTTATAAAGCCCAGTCAAAGAAAGTGTGCTATTGGCTCAGAGATACACAAATAGACAGTTAAGAACAGAGATCTCAAAAAAGACTGAAGTGGATACGAGACCTCAACATGTCATATGCAATATTGCAGGTAATATTACAACAAGCAAAGAAAGTATTCACTATTCAAAAATGATACTGGGCAACTGGCTTTCCAAATGGGAAAAATGAGTAAATAAAATTAGAGCACTACCTAATGCTATACACAAAATGCAAATTCAGATCAAAGCCCTAACTGTGGAAAATGAAACTTAATATACTAGAACAACACATTGGAGGTTATGTTTACAATCTTCTTCATGTTAAGAAGATACCAAAAAGATCTAAAAAAGAATAGATTGATACATTGTGCTGCTTAAGAATTTAAAACTTCTGTACAACCAAAGATATCATACATAAATAAATGTAAAACTCCAGCAATAGAGTGAGAGATATTTTCAATACATAAAACAGACCAAAGATCATTACCAAGAACAAAGACCAAATTTCTGTGTTCTATATGAAAACATGAGTCGCTAGGACTCTGTACAGCAGATTTACAGCCAATTCACCAAGACCACAAACAGCTAACAAACAGGTGAAAGTGTTGCCGGCTCGCTTAAAATCAGTCACATGACAATTAAAACAACTGCAAGATACTGTTTCATACCCATTAACTGCAAAAATGTTTAAGTCAGTCAATTACTAGTTAGTCATTGATTAGAACATGGAAACAGGTACACCTTTTTGTCTTAGCAGATGGGTAAATCAAAACTCCCCATTTGGAGAGCAATTTGGCAATGTCTAATTGCCAAAGCTGGAAATAGAAATTTGTTATGACCAGAAATTGCAGTTCCAGGTTTGGGTCCTACAGAAACTCACACATGTGTATATGGAATGATAGACATAGTATACTCACCTATCTTCTTTATAAAATGAAACAAACAACAACAACAAAAAAAGAAATAAGGATCTAGAATGTCCACAAATAGAGAATAGTAAAATAAAATGTAGACTATGTACATAGTAGCTAAAGATGAATGAAATGAATCTATATGGATCATAGTAGACAAACGCTGATTTAACAAAGCAAGTAGTAAAACAATAATATACGATATGTTACAATGACAAATTGAAAACAGAAACACAAAACAAAATTCAAAAGAAAGGAAATGGTTTTCTACACTGGGAAAGGACATACCAAGTTTGTGGCAGTGTTTGCTCTACAAGAAACTATGACTGGGAAAGGAAAAAAACTGAAACTTAATTTTATCTGTAACACCGTAATACTTTTACTCAAAATATTCAAAACATTTTTCTTAAAACCAATAAAATCATATAATTACCTACATCATTTTAAATGCTGTAGTTTAATTGTTTACTTGCCTCCCCAGCAGTACGAAAACTATACTAGCACATATTAATACTTTCATAATTAGAAATTACTGAGTCTAAGAGTCAATTACAGTTTAGAGACTGCCATTCTTATTCTACCCATAACTTTTGGCATGACCTTGACATCAAATGGTCCCTGAGAACAGGAAAAGGGGAAATGTACATATATGATCCTCTCACGTAAGTATCATCCCCATTTTACACATAGGAACTCTGAGGTTCATAGAGATCCCTTGAAAAACTGCCAAAAGTTTCAGGACAGATTTAAGCGGCAGAGATAAACGTAAACTCAGCTGGATGGCCGCAAAGGATGTATTCTTAAAGCTCTGGCCTTCTTCTTGCCATGTCATTTAGCCCATTAATACAGTGTATTGTCGCAATGGGCCTCTATTTGCATACGGGTTTAATTAAGAAGATTTACAAAACCATCCAATGAAAGTCAAATCCTAGACATTAGAGTGTCTATTGTGTTTTATGGTTCCCACAGGATTGATGGAATTCTGTGTATGTTATATGCATTGAGCTAACAGGAATCTACATATAAATCTGCTCTCTTTAATAACTACCTTATAAAATGCACCAGTGGGAAATTCTGGCAAAGCTGAAATGTTAGCGTTTCTGACATTAAAGACATCAGAAGCATGATTTAGAAGTGAGGTACTATATTTTCTGTAGGCTCAGATGTACATGTGAATTACCCCAAATTTAAAAGTTCTTTTTTGAGACATTTGTAAACCTGAACAGGCACAGCCATCTGTTTCTGCGGGTTGTGACTCATCCCAGAACTCCTACCTTGGAGAGAATGGAGAAATGAGCTGGGTTTCTTTGGCCCACGTAATTATGGGTGGGGGTAAGCTCTTCACTTCACATGGAAGTGTCACCTCTTCCCCTGCAAGGACGGAGATCTCAACAGGTTTATCCTGGGACAGTCCTCGGAGGTCTCCAAACACTCTGGGCCTTACTAAAAATAAACACATGTTTTGGAAGGGAAATAGCACACTGAATACAAAACACAGTTTAATTTGCATTAAAATGTGGCCTACTCATGTCCTTATGAAATTTATGAAACGATGCTGTTTATTTCAAAGTTTCAGGACATATCAGAAACTACCCATTCATATGCTTACTGTCAGAAGTGACAAGAAGGTTTCCCTTTTCCACAGTTCCTTTCAGAACACAATCAAGAGCTTGGCTGAAAAGCCGTTTTAGATCATCTATAAAAGTAACCCCTCAAGGCAGAGCACTCCCCAAGACATAGCTGAGGTCTGGCTTTGCTAAGCGTTTTAACTGAATGGTATGACTGAAGAGGGTTGGGTGTAACAAGCACACTTCTTGGGAAAACACCATAAAAAATTTTCCAACGGACTCTAACGATTGCATTCTTTAAAATCAGAATCTAAGTAGAGTGATTTGGACTGGCAATAAAAAAATGCATTTTTGTAAAAAATATAAATTTGGGGGAGCAATTTAGGGGTACAGCCATCTGGTAACAGTATTTGAGAAAGAACTGTGAGCTTTGGCCCCGAAAGAAAATGTCAATAAACCAAACCAACCAACAAGCATTCCTCCACCAGCTCTCACCATAGACCGTCAGCTGAACTTTCCGTCTGGCATAGCCAGCCGCATTGGTGGCAGTGCAGACGTACTCCCCGCTCTCTTCACCTCCTGGTGACACCACATAGAGACTTCCATCAGCCCCTGCTGAAAATTTAGCACTGCCAGTTGAAATCAGCTCTCCTTTCTGCAAAACATACCATAAAGCAACAAGTTATTTTAAGACCATAAAAGAATGACTTCATGTCTGGAAGAGGAAAAGAGAAAGAAAACACCCCAAGGAGGGTAGAGACTAAATTTAAAAATGATAATTTGAAGAACACTATTTAAAAGAAAAATTAGGCAAATAAAAATGTGAAAAGTGATATTTCCCATGTCCCTGTTCTTCCAGAGCTACCTAATTTAAAAAGGTAGAGCACAGCAGTCATAGTAAGGCTTGTGGTGCAGGGAGTGCTTAGGCTACTCTGGGCTTTGTTTGGAGCCCTTCACATGGATTAACTATTTTCATGCGCACAACAGTATTATGAGTAGGAGTTATCGCACCCCCTTTCTTACAACTCAGAGATTAGAGCACAAGGAGGTGGTGGGGGAAGGGTGGAGAACTTGCTCAAGATCACAAACCCGGTTAGTGATAGAGCTGGGACTGAAACCTATGGGTCTCTGGAGCTCAAATTCTTCACCTCAGGACCTGGCAGCACAAAGACCAGTCTGGAAAAATTTCACTTTTGCATTTCCTTAAAATGCAATAAACTTTTTTTTTTTTTAAATTTGAGACAGAGTCTCACTGTGTCACCCTCAGTAGAGTGCTGTGGTGTCACAGTTCACAGCCACCTCAAACTCTTGGCCTTAAGCAATTCTTTTGCCTCAGCCTCCCAAGTAGCTGGAACTACCAGTGCCCGCCATAACACCTGGCTATTTTTTGTTGCATTTGTCATCATTCATTGTTGTTTAGCTGGCTAGGGCTGGACTCAAACCTGCCACCCTCAGTGTATGTGGTACCATAACCACTGTAGTATGGGCGCCGAGCCAAAATGCATTAAACTTCTACTCAGTGCTGTATACAGTAAAGTTTGGGATCATCACTGTGACTTTTGTGATGTTTTGTGACTTCACCATTGTCACTTTTGTGTCCAATATTTGAAAATTTTTTTACATGTTTATAGATGTTGATACCAACTTCTTCATATTTCAGAGATTTTTAAATAAGCAAAACTAGATGATGTGACAAAACACTAAGGCTTCTAATCATCCAAGTGCCACATTTCATTATTATGTCATATCTTTATGTTACTTTACCAGACTCCTTTCCATAAATTAATTAACAGAAAATGTCATCTCCATGGCTGTTCAAAGATGGAAAGAACTTCCAGGAAATGGTTTTTTCCTCACTACAAAAATACAGGTAACAAACAAAAATACTAGTAAAAGCTGGGCAACAATGTGACAGGCATATAGAGGGGAATGAATTATTTGCATATGAGTCTTATAATTTTTAGTAATACATGGGAGTTGTGACTATACCATAGAACTTTATAAGTAGGGAAATTCACACAGTCATACTAGGTGGAGGGTCCTTAAAAGGTCTTGAGTGAAATCACCTACCTAATGCTTAAGGAGCATCAGCAACACAGCAATGAATCCTTCTACAGCACAGCCTGTGCCAGGAGCTTTCCTAAACATGTTACATGTTGTAGCAGACTGTATTTTACCCTTGCCACATCCCTTCCGCCTTCAGTTTCAGCCCAGCTCTAGTGGACAGCTCCGTGTACCCTGTCAAGGGCAGACTTCAAGCACTTCAGCCTCAGGGCTTTATCCAAAACCCTACAAGGCCACTCATCCGTGCCCAGCAAGTGCAGGTGTGGTAATTCTCAGTAGGGAGAGGGGGCACAAGTCCTGTATAAATGTCCCACTTCCAGTCCCTCAGTGGGATCTCTGAGGTGCACCTGCATGGCTGCTTGGAGGGTTCCTCGCACATTAAAAATGATCAGTCTGGTCATAAAGACAACCAGCCCTGTGAATCCCTTCCTGAACGTCCCCATGCCTTCCATTTCTTAATCCCCCACTCTACTGCTCAAGACTCTGCAGATAATTTCCAAACGATCTTCACACTCTGCTCTTCAGGAAACAGGACTCAATGTGTCATTTACCTTGGACCAGATGACAGACGGTTTGGGAATCCCACTTGCCCTGCATGGCAGAGTGACGGGAACGCCTTCAATCGTACTCAGCACCTGCTGCCCGTGCTGAATGGTCGGCAGAACTGGAAAGGGAAGCAGGATGCAGAATCTGAGCACCTGTTTTTCCACTTAGCATCGTATGGTTGAAATTGAACATGTTCAGTATATAATGTGTTGTAAAAACGATGAATAATTTAACATTTTCTGATAGAAATGTAGGGTAATCTCTGTAAGGGAGCATGCTAAACAAATAAAATACAATAATTATGATCTGGAAAACTTAATGAAATCTTAAAATCAAGCAGTGAATGATATCTAATAAACTAAACTTCCTAACCAAAATACAAGAGAACTGACTGACGAAAAGTTCTTTTTTTCCTGGAAACCCAAAACAGAATTACACCCTTCCACATTTAACGCCTATCTTTGATCACGGGCCATTCCCCATTAAGCTGCAGTGAGCCAAAATAAGCCCACCTCAGAGAAAAGGGCTGTTGAACCACAATGTCTTAAACATCTGTCTATACAAGAATCACTTGCAAGCTGCCAAACTTCACCTACATAAAATGATTTGTTTTCTTGAAAAGAATTTTACAGTAAAATTTGAAAGACCTTAGGAGTTTACATTTAAAAGAGTAGGACAGGATTATGTCAATCTTTTTAAGAATAACATGCCTTTGACTTTAGAAAGCAAGTGAAGAATTAACATGAATAGAAGCAGGAGGAAAGGTCAGTGTTAGATCACTCAAATCTGTGTATATTTCAATTAAGCAAATGATTTGGTTAAAGCATCTTCCATACATAAAAATTCCTAACACTCCTTAAAGAAGACAGTAAGAGCTCAATATATATATACCAGGCATTTCCTTTCCATCTGCTGGAAGGACAAGACTGGAACTTCTCCTAGGAGTCTAATCATTCATCATGTCTTTTGCTTAAAATCAAAATTTTCCAGAATTATCATAACTACTCTGGAATAGAAGTTTGCTATAACAAGAGATACCAGAGACCTCAGTGCAAAATATTTTTGAGAGGCTTAGATTAGATAGATGATGATAGAGACTCACATTTTCCTATGGCTGGGCTTATTCTTTGAATAATTTCTTCTTAAAGAGTTGGGAGCAAACCTCCTTGCCCTAAATAATAAGAACTACAGGCTACTTTTAATTTTCAGAATCATCATGGAATACTTGACTATCAACTACGCTGTCAACTATGGCAACATGGAAGCCATTTTCTTAAACGCCTATCGAATGGGATAGTAATATAGAAAAGTGGCAAATTTAATCAACAGTTTTGAAATCTGATGAGATTTGGATTTGGAAGATACGTTTATTACCAGATTATCAATGTGCCAATATGACAATTAACCTGTTTGTCATTTTAATTGGCATTTAAACTTGCATCCATTCATTCCTTCTCTGAAAATTTCTCGAGAGCCTTCCATGAGTATTCTCAAAAGTAGAGAGGCAGAATGATGAGAGAGTGGCCCTGCTAATGAACACAAATGCAGAGGAAAAAAGAAGTATGAGGCTTCATCTCATACACACGCCCTGTGGTTGCTAGGTTTAGTTGGTGCCAAATGGCTGCCT